TTTTGCAGAGGCCGTGCTCGTTTACACTCCAACCGGCTGTGCAGAAGTGTTCCCTTTCGCCACATCCTCTCCAGCATCTGTGTTTTTTGAGTTATGATGGACATCCTGAATGGTGTTGGGTGGTGTCTCAGTGTAGTTTTAATTTGCATTTCTCTGATGACTAGTGAAGCTGAGCATTTTTTTAAATGTATCTGTTGGCTGCTCATATGTCTTCTTTTTAATGGGGCTGTTTGTTTTTTTCCTTTCGGCGCGTTTGAGTTCCTTGGAGATCCTAGATGTTAGGCCTCTGTCAGATATAGAGTTGCCTACCATGCATTGTCAGTCTGTGGAATGTCTCCCTGCTCTTATGAGAGGTTGTTTGGCTTCGCAGAAGATGGTCAAGGGCTCGTGGCAGACACCGAGACCCGCCACCCCCACCTTCCACCCCTCTGCGGGCCACACTCCACAAGACGGAGACAGAAAAGGCACATTCCCCGGTGGAGGTGGCCACGGCCGCCGTGCTCTGTGGCCGCCTGTTCCACCGTCCCTCACATGGCGAGAGGGGCCCCGACAGACAGTGGGGCTCAGGCTGTGAGGACAAGGACGTCCCCCACAGTCTGATTCTGTGCTCTCTCGGGCACGGGCGGAGCTACAAGCCTGCCTTAAAAAACGGGTCACACAGTTATTCAACAGGAGGACGGAAGGGAAGAGCAGGCCATTTAATCACACATAATGGAAATTGCTTCCCTGTGCTCCAGGGAGCCAGGCAGCCTCTCACTCTCGCTTGCTGCCTCAAAGGAAGGTTTCAGTATCAGAAAGAACTTAGCTCCCTCCAGTACCCACATGGAAAACCAGATCAGAAACCAAAGCCCACCACGGAAGAAGTCCCAGAAGAATCCAATTTGGAAAGAATTTAATTAACAAAATAAAATGGAAGAAAATGGTCCAGGTGGGGCTCCAGGAGCGGACCCAGGCCAGGCGCTGGCCGCCCAGCACACAGACGAGCCTCGCAGCCACAGAACCAGCCCTGGCCACCAGAACACCCCGCAGACACCACGGGCTCCTGCACGTGGCACTATGTACAGATGTCAAAAACCAAACAGCTGCAGCTTGTCATGAAGTGGCTTCTAGCTCTCCTATGCTGGCTTGGCACATTCATGCATGCAAAGCAAGGAGGTTTTGAGGGCTTCACCAAACAGTTAATTTTGGCAAAAAGAGAAAACAAACAAAAAGCTAAAATTCATAAGCAGGATTAAAGCCACTGAAGTGAAAACGATGTATTTTTCAACAGTATGGAGTTAGACTACCACTACAATCTGTTTTTATAAAGTCTCTGCCATCCTCTCCCCCAGCTCAGGTCAAAGTTCGTAGCAGCAATGCACAAAGTCCTCTGTCAAGCCAGTGTTCGCGGCTTCCCGGGTCAGAGGTCACAGGTCAAGTTCAGTCAGTTCGAAGAATCATGGGCGGGTGCTCACTGTCCTCATCCAGGCGCAGGGCGCTGGCCTCATCCTCCAGACAAGCGCCGCCCACGGCACCCAGGTCGTCTGTGTAGGCTGCAAAGAGACAACATGGTCACCCTCCAAGGGCTGGGACACAACGCACACCCCAGGGAACAGCCTGTGACTGCACTGTGGAACCCCTGGTGTGGGCTTATGAACTGTAGCCCGAGTTAACACTTTCTCGGGGCTTTGCTAACTCCAAGGTCTCTGCAGCCTGAGACAGCTCAAGATGAAGTCACTTATTTTATTCTCCAACATCCATAAATGTCAGCACGATGCTGGCACAGTCAACAGGGCGGCCTGAGGGATGGCCGCAAACTCTGTTCAGAGAACGGGGAACAGGAACGAACGCTCCAACCGTTGGATACCTTAGAGGACGCCGCCAGGGATGTGTGGGCAGCAGGGCTCTGAAAGCACGGTTTCAGCAGGAACAGTGGCGAGCAGGCGCTCACTCACGTGGGGCAGACTACACGGTTGCCTGCGGGCTCAGGTGGCGCCGTGGCGTGAGTGGCCACGGCGGAGGATTGCCTGTGTCTGCGTCGTACTGACCAGCTGTCGCGCCACATAGGGGCCCCTGCTGCTCTCACCCCCCTACAGCCCTTGTCCCTTCCAGGGCCCTGACACCGGGGAGAGGGGGGTCAAGACACAGCTTGTGGGTGATGCAAGAGGTGGAGGGGAAAGGCTGAGGCCAAATGCCTGGCAAGGCCTTTAGGGCAGCATCTGAGCCGGGAGGCGGCATGCCAGGGCACAACCTGTGTGCATCCAAAGTCATCTGAGCCGTGACCGCCATTTTTCCTCAAAAGTAAAGAACAGGACTTCAGCCTTGAGAGGCCTCAGGAGAGCTCGCCTCGTTCCCGGAACCGTCCCTTCCCCGCGACGGGGGAGAGGTGCTGCTGAGAGTCAGCCTGTGGGCACCCGCGGGAGGCAGCAGCTCCAATTACCTTCCAGGTTTGCGTCATGCCCCTTACCAAGTCTCGTCGGAGACGAAGGCACACAAGTACCTTTAGCGACCGCTGTGCTGTAGGCCTGCGCGGCCAGCGGGCAGTCGTGGGAGGCGGAGTCTAAGATTTCACTGGCTGTCTCCATGCTGCCGTCCAGCCTGCGGAGGAGGAAAGCACACACAGACCTCAGCGCCTCCGTCAGGGCAGCCCCGAGCGCGGCCACCCGCTTCCTGTGGGCACCGCGTGGCGCCTCCGCCAAGCAGGACTCTCTAGAGTCTGTCACACTGTGGGGACTTTAAAAGCACCCCCTTTTGCATCTTTCTAGTATTTTTCCTGATGAGGAAAGTTATACCTCGTGAGGCAATTTCAGATTTTTTTTTTTTGAGTCGGAGTCTCACTCTGTCACCCAGACTGAAGTGCAGTGGCTGCTCCCAGCCATCGCAGCCTTGGCCTGCTGGGCTCCAGCGATCCTTCCGCCTCAGCCTTCCAAGTAGCTGTAACTACAGGTGCGCGCTACCACGCCCAGCTGATTTTTTTATCGATTGTAGAGATGAGGTCTCACCAAGTTGCCCAGGCAGGTCTCAAACCCGCGGGCTCAGGCAATCCACTCACCTCGGCCTCCCAAGGCGTGGGATTACAGGCTGTACCACTGAGCCCGGCTTCAGATCATTTTTAAGATGAGAGATCATAACTAAAATTCACCACTGAAAAAAAATCACCCCGCACTTCCAACCTTTGATTACAGTGCTGTTGTTAGAACTTTTTGATAATAAACCGGAGTAAGACAGAAAATAAAACTTCACTAGCTCCCAAGTAATTAACACACATTAACTCTCCCTTTTAAAGAGCAAATCTTATCAGACAGTGAGATAACCCACAAGCGATTGGGGAGGACACCTGCTGTGTCCTTCCCGCCAACGTGCTAAGCCCTGCCCTCAGGAAGAGGGCCAGGCCTCTCTTCCCTCTCCACAGGCCAAAACCAGGGCAGCTCCGGCCACTCCTCACCTCTGCACCCGGTCTCTGGGTGGGACCCTGAAAGCACGTGTGGGGGATCTGCCACCAAGTGTGGCCATGACCCCAGTCACAAGGTGAACCAACTGACCTGGGAAGGCGGGTCCCTAAATAGCACAGGCAGCCACGCTGGAACCCGCCCCTACTGTCACTGGTTTCCAAGGAAATGAACAGACACACAACATACAACAGGCACCCAAACAACCGCCTGGCAGAGTGCAGTGAAGCTTTGAGAAGCGACGGCCAGCAGGCACACTCACCGGTGCTGCTTCATCAGGGCGCACTCGCCGCCCTCCTGGGGGTCCAGGTTGTACATGTACAGGTACCCGTCAGAGGCTCCCACCAGCAGTCGGGGGATCTTCTGAATTCTAGTGGAAGCAAAAGCAGCCAATTTAGACCATGACTGTCACGAGAAGTGTCTTCCGACGCTGGCAGCTTGCCTTGGGCAGGGCTCAGGAAGAAATCCACCCAAACAAGCACAAATCTAGTCTTGTGTGTAGGCGCATTACCACACACAGGAGTACAGTGACCACACACCAATGCGCCACGTGGGGTGCAGACTGTCAAGGCCAAGGACACAGGCTTCGTGTGAGAAGCCCTGAATACCAAAGGGGAAGAGAACAGGATAAAACCAGCCTCGCGGTTCTGTGATCCTAAGAATGGTTATTTTCACCTGGGCTAGACCTTTTTCACCTATGCTAGGCTTATAACAAGGATGGAAAGTAATGTTGACAAGAATCATGGAACCACAAAGATCTGCTAACACTGAACTTAAAGATATCTGTTCCCACAGTGACACCTCAGACAGTCAAAATGACATCCAGACTCTGTGTGCATTCTGAAGCGCACTCCAGAGCCGCATGGAAAGCCCTAAACTGTGACACTGCTGTCTCTGGAGGCTGAGGGTATACACTGGCCAGCTCACATGGTTTGGCTTCATGTTTTTCATTAACATTAGATACTGTAAGCAAAAACAGACTGAGGAAGATATTTGGAATTAGAATACCACAGAGAATGCACGTTACAGCTCCGTCCGTTCCGTGTAACCCTTGATTAAGTCCAACTTCTACCAAGCTGGCTGACTACCCTCAGGTCAGGAGAAACGCTAAGGGGACGGCGAACCGCTGCCTCAGGTGCTCTGCAGCAAGCCACTGTGACCTGGCCTCTTGGCCCGTGGTACTCGGGTGGGAAGGAAGGCAGGCGCCATCCCTACTCACGTGGCTAGTGAGCAGATGTTCTTGTGGCCACAGAATGGCAGGCGGACTGTGGCAAAGGCTCTGCCCTGGTTGAACATCTCTGTCACTTGGGAAGGCAAGTAGCTGGTGGAAGCCATGAGCACTTTCCCAAAGTACCCAGTCCAGGTGGTGGGTTCCTCCGGGGGTCTGGAAGGAAATGTCGCCAGAAGTGGGATCTTTCCCTGGGAAGACCACCACGCCACCCTCCCAAAAACGCACAGCTCTGAAACCCGAGAGTGAAGCCCCCATCCTCCACAGAAAAAAGGGGCTGGTGGAAATACACTGCCACTCAGGCCCTGGGGGCATCACTGGCATCCTCTGGGGAGGGTCGGAAGCAGGTGCTCAGGTTCTAGTGCAGGAAGGGCACCCCCTCTGAGTGGCTTCCCCCTGTGTTGGGACGTGCAGCCGTCTAGGGCCTAGTTGCTGGCCCCGCTAGATCTCTGTAATGGGAAGCCTCCAACAACCTTGAGTACAAACCCCAAGCTTATCTTCCCACTGCCCGTGTACTTTGCAGGTTTTTATCTTTTGCATGCTGATGTTATCATAAGCACTCTTTGAATAAGACACAGAATACATACATAATAATGATCCTGGAGGATGTTTTTTAAAATGCAAGGAGAAGGTAGCCCTCCCTTCACCACACAAATTCAGTGAAGTAACAGAGAATTAAGTTAGTTGCTCCACCTCTCGGCTCAGCCGTGGCAGTGCTCACCCCGGTGGGCTGCCTAATGCTCATCACCCGCATTTCTATTTACGAGGGCGTCTGAAGGGGACTTCTGTCCTGACTAGGAGGTGTCCATCTGGACCGTTGGGCTTCATGCTGGGACTCAGTTTCCAGCATGCTGCTCCACTAAGAACCTTGTGTGAACCAACGGTCTCATGACAACCCCGGGCCTTCCCTGGAAATGCTGGGACAGGATGGCTCTGTGCCTCCATTTTCACCCAGTCAGGAAGCGGGGACAAAGTGCTTCGTATTTCTCTAAACAAACGTGTACTTGCAACTCACTTTTCTTTCACAGTCTCAAGTTTGAAGATGTGCACAGTCTCAGTGTTGCTGGATGCAGAGAGGAACATGCCATCCATGCTGAAGGCCAGTGAGCAGATGGTGACACACCTGGGGGGAGCGAGCATGTCAGAGACCTGTACTTCTACAGGCGACCAGACACACCCTCTGGCGAGGGACTAGCAACATCCTCCGGGGGCTTAACTGGGTGCCAGGGAAGAAAAGCTCCATCATGGCACACCCAGTTTCCTGATACTTTCCGGTCCTCTCTAGCCGTCTTCTCAAAGTGTTCTTTTTTTTTTTTTGAGTCGGAGTCTCACTCTGTCACCCAGACTGGAGTGCAGTGGCCGCTCTCGGCCACTGCAGCCTCGACCTGCTGGCCTCCGGCGATCCTTCCGCCTCAGCCTTCCAAGTAGCTGGAACTACAGGTGCGTGCTACCACGCCTGGCTAATTTTTTGATTTATTGTAGAGATGAGGTCTTGCCGAGTTGCCCAGGTGGGTCTCGAACCCGCGGGCTCAGGCAATCCTCTCACCTCAGCCACCCAAAGTGCTGGGATTACAGGCTGAGCCACTGAGCCCGGCTCTCAAAGTGTTCTTGAGAGGAAAGTGAGAGGTAATGGCATAGAGGAGCAAGTCTTTCATATATCCGCAAGCAGCCAACTCTCCTTGTGATTCCAAATAACAAAAGGAACTGGGCCCAGTAAACCATTTCTAGCTGAATTAGGATGAATCTATAGCCCTGAGGTTAGTAAAAGAAAAGACCCAATCATTTCAATCACAGTGATGCTCACCACGCCCGGAGGGAAGTTTCATATGCTAAGTCTCTACAGTACATCTTACAAATCACTGTGAAAATGCCAAGCCATCAAAAGAATGGGAACTTCCTCAAAACCCTAGAAATACAAGCTACTTTTAGCTCCCTCGGTAATGCTGGGGGCTTTATCAAGTCAATAAACATTTACTGGGCATTTGCAACGCACTGGCCACTGCTGGCCACTGCGCTCAAGCTGTGGAGATCAGGTGGACAGGAAGGGTTCTCACCCTAATGGGGGTGGAGTCAGATGTCAAGCTCGCTGTAAGCAAAAGAGGGCTGAAAAGCACAAGTGGAAGGCATCAGAGAAGTGCAGGGCAAGGAATCTGCCCCCACAGGAGGTCTGGAAGAGGCCTCCTGGAGGGAGACATGCGACATGCAATGAGGGTTTACAGAGGCTGGCCAGGCGACCAGACCCGCACATGAGCACAAGACACAGCACACACAAGACCCAGCAAAGAACAGAGCTGCTCTTCCGAGAAACTGAGCGTGCAGCATGGCTAAAACGGGGCTCAGGGCAAGTGGAGTCGAACCAGCCTGGGAAGGCATGGCTGGCGGAGGAAGCCATGCAAGGAGCCTGGAGTTAACTCTGCGGGTGTCCGGAGAGCAGGGTACGGTTTTAACGGGGTGTAATCTGACCATATTCACGCCTTCAAAGAGCAGCTGAGTCCATGTCTGAAGAACAGCCTGGAGGAAACCAGGGAAGCAGCCGAAACTAGGGAGGCTCCCGGCCAGGTGGAGGGGAGGTGTGTGTGGGGGTGGCGACAAGGGAGAAGTGGCCGTTGAGGGAGAAGTGAACGAAGGAGGAGGGAGGAGGGAGAAGAGCCCAATGGACGGGAGCTAACAGGACTCAAGGAATGGGGGGAAGGAAGCAAGCCACGTCCCTCTGGCTCGGGCGCAAGGAAGGTGGCCAAGGGCGTCTACCGAGACGAGAGATGCGAGGGATGACAGGGCACACTGGGGCTGGGTCCAAGGTACCCAAAGCCCAGCGGACAGGAGAGGTAAGGGCCCACCTCAGGAAAGAAGCTGGCTAGACTTCCAGACTGGAGTCGGCAACGCACACAGACACGGAGGTAGGGCGTGGGGCGGGGAGGCTCAGGGCCGAAACCGGCACAGCAGGGGGAGACGCAAAGCAAGAGAAACCTGGAAGGAAGCAGGGAGGGAAGGCCATGGCAAGCAGCAGGCAGGCGCTGGAAGGGGCTGAGGTGCTTGGGACCCTTTCTGACGCCAGGCACCTCCTCCTCCAACGACCAGCCTCAGGGACGGAGGCACCACTGATGCCATTCCAGTCTGCTGCGGAACCAGAGGCCCCCGGCTGAGTACTGCTGGCCAAGGCCACGCAGCCACAAGTGGCGGCCAGAGGTCTGACCCGTGGCCCTGGTCTGGAGCCTGGGCCTCGTCTGCTCGGCTGCTTCTCGTGGAGGGACATTCCTGCCGCCAGGGCAGAAGTCTGGAGGCGAGAGCTATGTGCAGATGCAGGAAGGTTCGTGCCTGGATGGGGGAGGTGAGGGACCTCCAGACTGAAAGGGGATGTGGGGGGGCTGGCGCAGGTTCTCAGAGAGCAGAGGCCAAAGAGAAGAGCGCACACAGGGTGAGGTCTGTTTCCTGCCACCTCACGCAGCCAAGAAGCTGCGTGGTGTCAGAGGGCCTGCCTGGCTAGGCAGCAGCTCCAGGCTCTCTCTCGGGTGACCTGGCCACCACTCTCCATCCAGGAGGGACTGCCGACAAAGGAAAACCTGGTTTGCTTTTGTGTGCGTTCTTTAACTCCCATGATGAGACTGCTCCGAAATCTCCACTGGTAGTCCAGCTGGGTTGAAAATGCTTTTGAATTAAATTGGAGTTTTCCTGGTGTTTCTTTAAAAGTTACCACTTGTTTGGTCACAGATAATATAGAACTGAAATGCAAATATAACCTCCAGAATCAAGACTGGAGATTTATATACTTTACCTCTTAACTCCTCTCCGAAACTCAAAGAGTTTTTGTCCCTCTGGAATGGAAAATACCCTAATCACGGTCCCCTGTAGCAGGGAAAGAAGAAAGAATTTTAGCTGAGTCAAAATAGACTTTTTCTGTGTCTTTCACAGCAGATTCCAAACGAACCAGTGCTCATTTCCAGTGACAGATCTGCCTGGGGCCTAGAGGGAGGTGTGGGCTCCTGGGCAGGGAGGGGGAGGAGCCCTGTGCACGTCACCTCCAGACTTGCTGCCACAAGCACACAGTAATGTTCCCTATTCTTCGGTTGACTTACTGTTAAGATTTCTTCAAATCAATCTACTGTAACTTACGACTTACTTTAACCAGTCTTGAAGTAGAAAGTAGAATATGATACTTCTATTTTTCCAAGTCATTTACAGTTTAAGCCATTAAAAATAAAACCTGCAACTGTGCACTGCATGCTGGCAAGCACTCGCTAAACTCCAGGGGCTAACGTGGTTCCAGTGGCCACTGAAGTTCTGTCCTGCCACTCTTGCGTTACTGACCAAGAGAATGGACTAGGTGAAAATCTCAAAAACCTTAAAAGGAGTAAATCCAAGCTTACAAAACAAGACATATCTCAAGAACATTTTTACTAAGACAAATGAAAATAGGACGACATGGGACCCAGCACTCCCTGCTTTGACATGAAGCATCTTCAATATGTCAACTGTCCCGTTTCCTTTCCCCAGATAAGCTAACACAAGATCTGTGGATGAGTGAGACAGAATGTGAGCATCTGGGAGCATAAATAAGAGAGTGTAGCCAAGAAAATAAAAAGGAACAGGACTTTCAACATCTGAATATTAAATGAATGCTATCAAGTGATAGTCTTAAATAGCACAAAAAGAAAAGACTGATAGAACAGAAAGGAAAACTTTAAAACAGGTGGCAATTCAGATTTGTGGGTTAGAAAGAATTACTCAACATTCGACTTCATACCATACACATTTTAGAAAGTCCAAACTGTTAAATACAAAACTTAAGAATATCTGATAAGTTTATAAATAGTAAAAAACAGATTACCTCAATGTAGAACACCAAGGAACTACTTAAATTAACTGCATAAATTGTAGTCACGCAATTGGATACTATAGCTATTATTATTATTATTACTATTATTATTTTCATTTTATTTTTTTGAGTTGGAGTCTCACTCTGTCACCCAGACTGGAGTGCAGTGGCCGCTCCTGGCCACTGCAGCCTCAACCTGCTGGGCTCCGTCGATCCTTCCGCCTCAGCCTTCTGAGTAGCCGGAATTACGGGCATGCGCTACCATGCCTGGCTGATTTTTTTTGGATTTATTGTAGAGATGAGGTCTCACTAGCCCAGGCGGGTCTCGAACCCACAGGCTCAGGCAATCCACTCACCTCAGCCTCCCAAAGGCACGGGATTACAGGCTGAGCCACCGAGCCCAGCTTATTATTATTATTATTATTATTATTATTATTTTGAGTTAGAGTCTCACTTTGTCGCCCAGGCTGGAATGCAGTGGCCGCTCCTGGCCACTGCAGCCAAGACCTGCTGGGCTCCGGCGATCCTTCCGCCTCAGCCTTCCAAGTAGCTGGAACTACAGGTGTGTGCTACCATGCCTGGCTAATTTTTGATTTATTATAGAGATGAGGTCTCACCAAGTTGCCCAGGCGGGTCTCGAACCTGTGGGCTCAGGCAATCCACTCACCTTGGCCTCCCAAAGCGCTAGGAATACAGGCTGAGCCACCGAGCCTAGCCAGTTATTGCTATTAAAATCAGGCTATGGCAAGAATAGGTTTATTTGAAAAAGTTATTGAAGGACAGTGGTCCTTTCTGGATGGAAGGACACAAACAAAATTTGTAATCTTGAGAATTAGGGACAAAATATTTTCCGCATCCATATATAAAACTAACCATGGCAAAAGTTAGTTAGGCTAAACTTTGAGGCTAAACCATAGGCTAAACTTTGAGATTTACATACGACTTTTTAATGGCACATCTAATGTGTAATACTCATTAGTTAAGAGTTGTTTCGTAGCTGGGCTCAGTGGTTCAGCCTGTAATCCCGCGCCTTTGGGAGGCTGAGGTGAGTGG